AGAAAGAAAGAAAGAAAGAGAGAATGAGTCTAAAGAAAGTAATGACGGAAAGCCATAGTCCTAAAGTTTCAAAATTCTAATTGCATGTATTACAGGAGCTTAAAATAACACAATATCATTATATATTCTAAGGAAACTGAGCACATGGTGTTTTTGCTTCAAAACTGCTAACAAAGAACCCTATGATAGAGAACATTTCTACTTGCTGTGAAGAAAAGAGCATATGTCAACTAAACCACAGAGGACTATGTATAAAAGTAGCTTATGGGACTGGATTAATCTCACAGAAGGAAAGAATATCAGAGCAAGTGAGGCTCTGTAGTGTTGTGGCGGCCTAATTTCTATAGAACACTTAACACAAACAAGAATCCAGAAATCCCAGGACAGCAGATTTGAATTTTTATTTTTTTAGGCTGTATACAATTAAAATATTTCTAAAAATGCAGTATCCCAGAGCTTCATACTGATCCTATTCAAACCTGCTTTTTCATGTATCATGCCTCCATTGTCCAGTGGGTTCACCAGTTTTGCAGTCCAGTCATACAAAAAAGTATCCATTGACTTCAAGTTGTGTGGTCTGTGAATGAAAAGAGTGCAGGATCAAAATGTAATCAAATGTGTCTAAATTTCTGTGATGTCACCTGCATAACAGTTTATGGATTTTGGTAGCATTTTAGAAACTGCACAACTATAATTAGAGCTGGTTGGGAAAAAAAAGTCTGTCAGTTTTGTTTTACCAGAAAATTGCTTTTCAACGCAGTGGAAATGTTCATGCAAAAATACCTGTTTTCATCAGATAAATGAGTTTTTAATCAGAATACCTTAAACTGAAAACAAAATACTGGTTTTGACAAAAACATGAAAAATTGTTTTGAGAAAAGTTGATAACTTCCCCTTTCCCCATTTTTTGTCTAAATTTGGAGAAAAATGGGGAGAACAAATCCGTCAGCTCTCCCTACAATTCAAATGTGCATTCAGTTGGCTCTCATCCTCTGTTCTGTTGCCTCTGTGTAACTCCGTTGTAACACAGCCAAGTTGCATTGGTGTAAGTGAAAGCAGAATTTGGCCCACTGTTTGATCAAGTATTCTAAAATTAGGCTTCCGGGCTTTGACAACTGGCCTATCTTTTAATCATTCTGTTGTGCCCGGGGCAGATGAGAAGATGGAAAAATAATAAGGTACATCAATCTATTGTTTTAGGTTGAAGAAATCAATACTTTGAAAATTATCTTTTAATTAACAGCTAGTTATAAGTAAAATAAGCTGTGGGAGGCCTGAAATCTGATGGTATGGCAATTCTCCAGCTACTTTTAATTTAAAATAGATCGGCTGTTAAATTTTAAATGATTTCTGAGTTAGTTACATGACTCCACGACCACAATAAGTAGTTGTCAGAGGGTATGTCTATGCTGTTGCAAGGAGTATGCCTCCCAGCCCAGACAGGAAAAGACACTAGCTTACCTCGAACTAGGTTGCTAAAAATAGGAGTATGAACATTGCGGCATGAACTAGCCACCTACGTCCAAACTGGCTGACCCCCTGTATCCAAGCTCAGGTGATTAGCCCAAGCTGCCACCCTTACTACCACATCCATGCAGTTATTTTTAGCATGCTAGCTCGAGCTGAGTTAGCATGTATTTATCTCGGCTGGAAGGCATTATCCCAGCTGCAGTGTAGACATACCAAGAGGCTCTCCAATCAAGTGAATGTTGAATGCCTTTGTACTGAAATTCTAGGCTAGAACCCTCAATGTATAAAAATCTAAGTTAACAGGAAGGGCAAGCAGAGAGCTGGAAAAATATGTATGCTAGTTAGGAGAATGCCCATTGCAAAACCATATCTGAGACCTGTGTGTATGTTTCATTTAGGAGTTAAATAGAAGGAGGTATTAGGGGAAGTAGGACTAAATAATCCAGGGGATTGGTAATGAATAGGAACCTTTCTTTGGTATGTCACTGGTTTGAGTCTAGCTCTAGGTCATTACAGACCTAAGGTCATTACCATATTGACCAAATCCTGTTGACTTACCCATACAAGTAGTACCATTGACTCCAGTGGAAGTACATGGATGAGGAAGGTGAGTGGGGTTTACACAGACTGTATCAGGGTTCAAGGACAAGACTATAGCAGGGTTCAAAAAAGAACTAGATACATTCATGGAGGATAGGTCCATCAATGGCTATTAGCGAGTATGAGCAGGAATGGTGTCCCTAGCCTCTGTTTGCCAGAAGCTGGGAATGGGCAAAAGGGGATGGATCACTTGATTATCTGTTCTGTTCAGTCACTCTGGGGCACCTGGCATTGGCCACTGTCAGAAGACAGGATACTAGGCTAGATGGACCTTCGGTCTGATCCAGTATGGCTGTTCTTATGTAGTTAAATGAGTTGGTGGACTCAGTATTGTTAAAACAACAAGGAGTCTGGTGGCGCCTTAAAGACGAACAGATTTATTTGGGCATAAGCTTTCGTGGGTAAAAACCTCACTTCTTCAGATATAAGTGAGGTTTTTACCCACAAAAGCTTATGCCCAAATAAAT